CCGGAGAGACGTCGGTGTCTCCGGGCTGCAGCTCAGAGAGAGCATGATCACAGAAAGGGCACCACTCCTTGGGGACCCTGAGCTGGCCCAGCCGAGGGGAGCTGGCTCAGGGGCCCTGCTTCTCTCATTAGCACAGGGGTGTCCTCCGACACGCGGGACCCTGCAGCCAACTTGCCAGGAGCCCCAGTGCTGCCCTCTGGATCCGATCTCATGGCAATAACAGCATCTCTCATCAGCCTGCCTACCCCATCCCCACAAGGATAGACCACTGGCCCTGGTCTAAAAGCCCATCCCAATCACCTGGGATGCTTCTGGCTTAGACAGAAGCAGGAAACGTCAGCAGGAAGCACTAAAAAAGAGGGTTACTTCATTCAGAAACATTTAAGATCCATTCTTCTAGGTGCTTCCCACCAAACTTTTGGAGCAGAGATAGGCCAGAGACATGATCTATGCTATGGCATCACAGTCTTTCGTAAACTGGTGTCCTAGCTACAACTACAGACACAAACTATCTTCCACACAGCTTGTGCTCCAGCTTTGTTGTGCTCATTCACCATGGACCATACCCTTTCTGGACACTACACAGCACAGAGGCAGCTAGAGGTTGGGTAATATATTGCAAGCAAACATGGCATCACATGCACCAACCCTCTCCCAGATCCAAACCCACCTAAAACTTTGGAGACGTCCAACTCCAGATTCACAACTTGCAGCTGGCCCCCATCTTGAGGATGGGTCTGAACAAAACCCCCTTTGTCATCCACACCCCACAGACCTCCAGGGAAGTTGGGATCCGGGTCTGTTGCCTGGAGCTGGATCCCACTGCTGTTTTTGAGGTTCCCCTTTTCACAATGCTGTGGGGGGGCAAGGACCCCAGTACAGTGGCCAGAACACAATAGCCATTTCCCTGATTATCCATTTCTACATGATTCCTCTCCATCCCCTCACTTGAGCCATGTTTCAGGGAGATTCTCACCTGTCCCCCCTGGTCCCTTGCAGCTGAAAGCAGGGGATGAGGCCCAGCCACACAGAACATGTCACCGTCTGAGCCCTCGAGTGGCCGAGAGGAATTCCTTTCATATGCCAGAGAAAAACGGGCAGATGAAACGATTGCAAGAATTCAATTTCCATTAAGAAGCCACCCAGAGTCCATATCGCTCACCCCCAGCACTTTAGTCAGATTACAGGAAATTGAGGTCACGACCCGATTTGGGGTTCAAAGCAACAACGGATCTGAAGAGCGCTAAGTGCAAAGCCCTCTCTCGCTCTCTGTGAAATCAGCTGTAAACAGTCAGCCAGGACAGGTGAATGTGACTAGGGTCTAGTGCTCTGTTCAGCTTCCAAGCTCCCTGCATCTCCTGCCAGGACCCAGGCTCGCTCTGATCAGCTAGTGCTGGCCTCCTCCCTGCCCCCTTCTGACGGGGTGCAAGAGCATTCTCCACTGCAGCATTGCACCCCCCAGAGTTCCTGCACTGGCCTTGTCTGTCTAAATCTCATCTGAACACACAGCTCTTCTCCCTTGTCTCTGCCCCCGAGGGTCTCTCCTCTTTCCCGTATTTATCATTGAACTCTACGAAGTGTCTCAGGACGCAGGCTGCGTAACGGACTCTACCCAGCAGAAAATATTGTATTCAAGCACACCTGGGTGGGCACTGCCAGCTGGGCAACAGAGAACCGCTCAGCCGGGCTTATCAGAACGAAGAGAGAGGCTGGTATCACCCTGCAAGGGCTGCTGGGAGACAGGATTTGCGACCGTTCTGGGGATCTCGTGTGCTGCATGTCCCAAGTTGCCTGCACATCCCGAATGAGACCTAGTGCAGGCGGATACAACTCCAGCAGCGGCACACTGGCCTCTGATTCCCCCCAAGCTCAGACGTAGCAGAGAGAGGCAGCTGCACAAGGCTGACTGTGATCTCTGATTCAGGGCCACCTGGCCCCAGCAGCAGGAGACTCCTGCTGTACCTGACACAAGGTCCAGCAGAGGTTGGGTGTAGCACAGCTCAGCTCAGACACAGGTCTGACGGGCCCCCAGAGACCTGGGCTCCAATCGAAGCAAATCACTTCACTACCCTGTGCAGCAGTTCCATGGCTCTGAAACCAGCTTCATAGATTGCAAAGCCTGAAGGGACCAGTGTGATCATCTAGTCTGACCCCTGTATAGCGCAGGCCAGAGAACTGCCCCACAATAATCCCTAGAGCATAACTCCCCTACCTCCTGGGACATGCGAGGGTTAAGCCATTGATGGTGAGCTGCTCGGATCCTACAACAACAGAGCAAATATCTACATAGACAGAAATAATAGAATCATAGAATATCAGGGTTAGAAGGGAGCTCAGGAGGTCAACTAGTCCAACCCCCTGCTCAAAGCAGGACTAATCCCCAACTAAATCATCCCAGCCAGGGCTTTGTCAAGCCTGACCTTAAAAACCTCTGAGGAAGGAGATTCCACCACCTCCCTAGGTAACCCATTCCAATGCTTCACCACCCTCCTAGTGAAAACGTTTTTCCTAATATCCAACCTAACCCTCCCCCACTGCAACTTGAGACCATTGCTCCTTGTTCTGTCATCTGGTACCATTGAGAACAGTCTAGATCCATCCTCTTTGGAACCCCCTTTCAGGTAGTTGAAAGCAGCTATCAAATCCTCCCTCATTCTTCTCTTCTACAGATTAAACAATCCCAGTTCCCTCAGCCTCGCCTCATAAATCATGTGCTCCAGACCCC